ACATGAACTTTTTTAGATGGGAAATCATGACAATCACCGCGTAGCCTCGCGTTATCCCGGCAGATTGGATCAAATGACCATGTTGTCCATGATTTTGCCGGGCTTGGCAGTGACTTATAACGGCGATGAAATTGGTATGGTGGACAAGACGGATATATCGTGGGCGAATACGCAGGATCCCGAGGCGTGCAACGCAGGCAAAGACCATTACGCGTCTGTGTCTCGCGATCCAGAACGGACGCCGTTCCAATGGGACGCGACGAAGAACGCAGGTAAAAGACGAATTTGTGCGATTTACAGTGTTTAATTTATTAACAATATATTTCTAAATCTTAATCAATTAATTATTTGTTACGGCAGGTTTTAGTACGGCAAATTCGACGTGGCTTCCGGTGAATGAAAACTACAAAGAGTTGAACTTGTTGAAAGAGACTAAGGCTCATGACTCGCATTACAAGATCTACAAAACCTTAGCCTACATGCACCGAAAGGAACCAGCACTTACCAAAGGAAGTTACAGATCGTTCTTGGCGAACAATGGTACAGTCCTGGGTGTGATCCGAAACTCTGGTTCCCGCACCGTGCTGCTTCTGATTAACTTCTTGGACGACATCCCTCAAAAAGTGGATCTATCAGGCAAAGGACTTCCGCTACTAATGAAGGTCAAGGTTGCCAGCTTGGATGCTCAAGTAAAAAGGTATGACTTTCTCAAACAATTTTTTTTTAGGTTGTTTATATACATATTTATAACTGTGTTACAACTCTTTTTCTTTCTTCTCCTCTCTATAAATGTTATAAAATAATTATAATACCAAAATTTTTGATGACAATGAAATAGTCGCATATGTAGTTGCAGTAATCATTGTCATTGTTTTTTATCTTGTAATTTATTAATTTTTTTCGAGTGCAGAGATACCGTAACATTCATTATACACGATTGATAAGGAAGCAACTGATTTTCTTAGCCATTAACGTGTATATAAACAATTTTCAGATTCGACAAGCACAAACGGCATCATGTCGCTGACAATACGCTTGTGTGCGCTTTTGCTGCTGGTGAGCGGTTTATCAGCCGAGATTCTCAATAAGTCGTGGTGGAACAATACTGTCTTCTATCAAATTTATCCGAGAAGTTTGTATGATACCAATGCCGATGGCGTAGGCGATCTGAAAGGTAAGCGTATGTCAGTCTCTATTTATTAATATGTGTCGTGCATAAGATAATAAAAAATAAAAAATTACTATATTCACATATATCCCAGATAATAAAAGTAGTCATTTTGACGTAAAATTACGTCAAAATGACGTTAAAATGACTATTTTTGCTACTTGGGATGTTACAATTTTGTTGAATTAATTATTGCATAATTATACCCAGTTAATCTCTATACGTTTATTATCGAAAAACATTAATGCCAAAGTAATGTAAGCCAAGTATACGAACAATGGCAAAATTTAAAGCTTTGTTCTCTGATGTTATCAGGAATAACTTTAAAGTTGCCTTACATTGCGGAAACTGGCGTCAACGCAATCTGGCTGTCACCCATATATCCAAGTCCTATGGTCGATTTCGGATATGATATATCCAATTTTACGGGTATCGATCCAGTTTTTGGCACAATGGAAGATTTCAAGGATCTCTTGGTGAAAGCTAAGAAACTCGGTTTAAAAGTGCGGCGGTTTGCCTATATATATATACATCATGATTTTTATATATAATCTAATTTGATTGTTCATATTATTATCGTAATTAAATGTAGAGAATTATTGACTTTGTTTATTCTACGAAATATTTTGAATACTCGTCGTCTTTTTTTGGAGTTACTTCATGATATCATTCTTATAGGTGGTTCTCGATCTCGTACCTAATCATTCATCTGACAAGCACCCATGGTTCCAAAAGGGTCTTCAAGGCAATGAGAAATATAAGAATTATTATATGTGGGCAGATGGTAAAGATAAAGACGATAAAACGCCGCCTAATAATTGGATCAGTGTGTTTAGTGGCTCAGCGTGGGAGTATGTGGATTCGCAAAAACAATGGTATTTTCATCAATTCGATTATAGACAGCCTGATTTGAACTTCTCAAATCCTGATGTGAGAGACGAGATGAAAGTAAGTTACAGAGAAAAGCTCAGATTTTTTTAAATGTTGCTATATGCTGAAGATTTTCATTAAAATATCTCATTCTGGTGTTCCAGTCACATTAATTTTATTTGTAAGAAGAATAAAAAAGAGAGGCTATTGCGCGTTTATTATTTTAATAAAATGTTTTAATAAATTTTATCAATATTATTAGTACAATTGCAAATATATATATAATGATTCTTCTCATTTTTATTAATTCGAAACATTTAATATATTTTTTAACACACTTATTATTTGAGATATAATAATCCAGATATGCAATAAATATGTGATAACATAAATTATAACATAATTTATTAGCATTAATAGTTTGCATATAAATTTATTTAATTTTTTTGTTACTGCATTTTTCCCTAAATTAAAAATTTATCATTTAATCTATAGATTATAAATCTCTTTAGATATCTTTTTATTTTGCATATAAAAGTTTGAATGAAAATGTATAACTGCAAATTGAATTCAAAATTTATAAATTTATGTTAAAGAACATAAAGTTTTATAATAAGAAAGATATAAAGGAAAGTGTATAAAAAATATTTTACACATTACAGCATTCTAAACTTTATTCTTATAACTTCTAATGATTTTTTTGATCGGTTACAGAATGTATTGAAATTCTGGTTGGATTTGGGTATAGACGGATTCCGCATCGATTCCGCCCCGTTTATTTATGAAGACCCAGAATTGAGAGATGAGCCCAGAAGTTATGCGGCTGGTCTCACACCGCGAGATTACTCGTATTTGGATCATATTTACACTGTTGATCAAAAACCTACTTACGAGCTATTCGGAGATTGGCGAAAATACGTAGATGACTATGCTGACGAGCACAATCAAGATCAGAAGGTCAATAAAGCAATATTATTTTTTTCAAATTTATGTTTTGTGCTTATTGATTTATAAAATATGCTCTTTCTCTGATCTCTCTAGATGATGGTGATGGAGGCGTATACTAGTTTCCCGCATACCATGGAATATTATAACTATAATGTGACGCCTTTCAATTTTGCGTTTATTATAAATGTGACTATTAATTCGTCCGCGGAAGTTTACAAAGAAAAAATAGACGGTTGGACGAATTCAATGCCGAGTGGTAAAATTGCCAATTGGGTATCTAAATTTTTTAAGGAAACTTTATGTAAATATTATTATAAATAGTTATTATAAATATGTATATTATTCGGGGAGTGATGTCGGCAGATACTATGTGTAGATATATAATTCATTTTTATATCTTTTGCAGGGATTATTATTCGGTTCCTATAAACAATATACATTTACGTAAGAAAGCCGCTGTCGTGTACACGTCTCTAGAGATTCCCTAAATATGTTATTTTCAAAGCACATATATTTAATTAAAAAACTTTTGTGTATTTATAATGCACTATTATAATGTTTCCTGCAATAAAAATCAATAAGCAATATTTCATTTTTTCTTTTTAACTGTAATTTTCCAAAATGTACCCTTATAAAATTGTAACTGTAATTGTAATTGTGTGTATGTAATTGTATATATTTAAATATCTATAATTTTAATTTTTTGTGTATTGAAATTTCTAATTGGTATATTATTGAATTTTGTTGTATTATTTTCTTCAAGAATTTGAAATCATGCATTAATTATATGTTAATTATTAATTTCACCGAAAGAATTGTTAATATATCAAATATATTAAATATATTAACATTTTTAATTACATATATTATAAATTAGATATAGATACAAAATATTTCAAAATTGTTTTAATAAGAAATTATTACTTTAAAATTTAAATTTAATCTTATCATTTTTTTATGGTCGAAAAGTAATTTTATGTAATTTATTCTCTTCTTCATCATTTATACCCACAAAAATGATTCAACACAAGAGACAAGTCAGCGTAACTTACAGATTGAACTGGAGAATGCTTTACGAGAGAGAGATCAGGCGCAAATACTCATCGCGAATCTCACACGAGCCTTAGATGATTCACAACAGAGTCTTCAGAAATTGAGAATACATAAAGACAGTTTAAAGGAGTTTACTCCTATGGAGAAAACAAACGTTCAACAAGAACCAGCACAAATTCTTACAGCTATCGAAGAACCGATTAGTCAACAAGAATCCGTACAATCTGCACAATCTCCTATTGAAAAAGAAGTACAACAAGACACTCAGTTAGATATTGGTTTAGGCTGGGATTATAGCTCGTCTGAAC